TGTATGAAAAGGAACACCTAATGCAGTGGAACTCGGATTCAACGAGCTCCGATTCAACGAGCTCCGATTCAACGAGATGAGATAGATTCTCCGTTTTTCTTCTGTAAAATCAATAAAAAATAACCCAGATTCAACGTGCACTTAAATATCAGCGAGCTCGGATTCAACGAGGTTGCTTCCAGGGTGAACAGCCCCTGCAGACGTGGCTCCGCTCATTTTTCTCCCAGAACGAACTTTATCTATTCCCGAAAACCATCCATTGCACCTGCTTCGTGAACTATTATTCACTTAGTCGATTGCATGCAACCAATCAGCGGCCTTTTTTTTTCATACCAACACACGCATTGTTGGCACGCGCACGTGTCTACTCTGGCATGTGTCGGGGTCGGATGGGCGGCATGCACATGTGTGGCTGTGTGTGCATGTCGGGGAGGGGGGGGGGACACTAGCGGTCCGGGCGTTGAACGTCGCAGACATGTCAGTCTTTTTGCCCTCGGCAACAGATCATGATTACAATGATAAGCTAGTCTTGACATTGATCTACGTAATGAATTGTGCACTGGTCTATGGAATAAGTTGTCGTATGCTAGACTCTACACAGCAACACAACTTTTTGGTAAACAATCGAGATGACACAGGCGTGTGGATTTTAACTAATCAGTCTTTTTTTTTTCTACACAGCTCATAATATGCAGGTATTTCAGGCACTACTTGTGACTTTTCTTTATACATATATTACTTGCTCAGTGCCTGTAATTATCCAAACAAAACCTTGTGTTTGCTATACGAACACTCTGATTCAACAAGATTTTAGGTCAGATGCTGCGACCTTGTTGAATCCGAGTTCCGCTGTGTATAGTTTTTGCACCTCTATACCACCGTTCACTAACTATCTTGCCCCTCTATTGCCCTCTATACTGCTGGCAAATTGGCCACTAAAGGTACACAATACGCTCAATTGCAACATTTTTGACAGAAATGTAACGATGAAATTTCACATGAAATTTTATTGCGAACAAATTTTTTAAAAACAGACAAGGAGATGAATAATTTTGAAAAATAAGGACCACACACATACACAATATATACCAACATACAACCCCATTTATGCTCTAAACACTCAATTTCAAGCATATTAGCAAAAATAAAACTTAAGGCATTGGGTCTGAAACGTGTCAGACTTGGTCAACAAACAAAAACAGTATACCAGTGTTAGAGTTAGTGAGAGAGCAAACAAAAAAGAAATGTGTTAAACAAATGGACACTTAGAAAAGAAAAAGATGGATCTGACACATTTATTCACATTATCATTACAACAAGAGGACATCATGTGTACTTTGTTCATTATATGTTTGATGCCCTTTTCAACACATTTTAAAAAACCATGACAAAAATATATAGGCTATACCAGAGGTAAAGTGGAGCCTGCAACCGAAATCTGTGGGACCACCAGATTTCCTCTGGTTTAGCCAGTTTTTATTTCATAGAGAGGTTGTTCAAATGGAAGAGTAATAAAATTCAGGACTTTCTTTTCTTTTGGTTTACTGTTGTTTTTTTTATTAAACATGTTTGATTTTAAGCGGGCTTTACTCTCTAGAAATGCACCAGACTGAGGAGAAAAAAAACCTGGGTCAGGGGTACGTGGAGAGGGAGGGGTTATGGGCAGAGAAAAGTGAATGCAGATTCCTAGACACTGGGCCAGGATAAACTTGGACTGGAAAAAAATGCACTGGACACCCAGCATCAGACAAATTGTTTTAAAGGTCGCTGTGCTCCATAGGGAGTTCGAAGGCTTGAAGAAAGAAACTAAGGCTGAAAAACGAACATGAAAATTTAACGCTTGAAAGTCATATAGACGACTACGGATGAATTGATGGATGTCGTTGGGGGAGTGAAAAAAAGATCAATTCATCTTAAGTTCAACTTAACTGTTGGGACCTGTAAAGATGAAAAGGTGCTGGGACACGAGAAAAAGATCAACTTAACCAAAGATCAACTCAAGCGAGTTCAACACAAGAGGAGTAGTCAACTGTGTACAGTGGAATCCTGTTATAACGAGAGGGAGGGGACCGGTGCGAAATGTGCGTTACAAGGATTCTCGTTACAAGGGATCCAGTAATAAATTCAAAGGAAATAATACAGTACGCCTAATCTATGAGTACGATGTTCTGTTTATATTTCTTTTTGTTATCTCCCCTGATGGTGATATTGTTCAACAAGACCTCTTGGTCTTACTTGATCAAAAATCGAATCGGGTTTCTATCTCTATCGCTTGCAATATTGACAGAAAGGGCTCTAGGCTAACTCGCCCGCTGTGTTGTTCACCACCATACCACACCCCATGGTGCGTTCCATCTGCTTACGCGCGTCACACATTCGCTCCATCTATCACAGCATTGTGACCTCTCCATCCCCGCATCGGAGAAGTGAGAGGCATGGTAGTGGTAGGCCTAGATAATCTAGACGCGATGCGTTAGACTGCTTGTCTGCGCATACCACACCCTCCCCACTCATTCACTTCGGCCTTCATTGTAGGCACACGTGGGCTCTCCCATTCTTTGTTTCGATCAAGGAGTTGATCATGCGTAAGGTCCTTTGTTTCCCAAGATCACCAACAACTTTCTCAACTGGCGAGGTTTTGCAATGTATAATTGGCCTATGCGCTGTGCACAGCAGCAGCAATATTCCGCTATAACCGACTCGCATTTTTGTCTGATAGCGCTATAGCAATATTTTGTTTACAAAGGTAAAGAGGAGAAAAAAAAGGGGTTTTAGAATAGTGTCTTTATAACAGACCTTGTTATTTCAGGACCCGTTATAAGTGGACTCCACTGTATACTATATACACATGACATGTTAAAAAATTTAAAGACAAACTTGATCTCTATACTATAATTGAGCAACACAATAATTATTCTTTAGACAAATTCCTAAAACTTTCCTCAGCTTCAAGCATCATGTACATGGACGCTCATCATAAAATTCATACTCTTCTTTCCCATTTAATTTTGCACACAAAAGTGACAAGAGCACCACCACAAGTTCCACAGTCAATCAAAAACAAATTATGAGTCAAGTAGATCTAATCTAGGTGGATGAATTTTAAACCACTAGACAAAAAGATACCAGACAAAAAAATATGTATTATAATCATTCATGTTTCTAAATGTTTAGTCGTGAAAACAATAGGCCTACAAAGTTATTATGTTATAATAACTTATAATGTATCATATATATGTACTGAAAATTACTTGCCTTGCAGAGTGAGCTTTCAATTTTTTTTTTAAATCAGCTTTTTTCACACAGACTACAAAATTTTGATTTTTGCATCGTAATAGACTATATTCTAACCACATGAAAACTGTAGCCTATAATTCACACCTTACATTTTATACTTATAGAACAATTTCGAATCTGTACGGTAGACAAAAAAAGTTTACAAGCTGAAACTGAAATTCAGATAGAAGAATAATAAAGTTATGAACAGGGTTTTGGGTTGAGCTTGTTAAGTTTGGGAATGAGGTACACAGCCCTGATAGGCCTACATTCATAAAAACCAAGCTGCACACAATGGCTCTATTTAAGATCAAATTCAACAGATCATGCTCTGAGAAAGTTAAGAATCCAAAGTCCCTGTTTGTGACCCTCCAAAAGTATGCCTAAACGGGACAGGGAACTGCACTCATTGTTTATATAGTAGAGTAACTTAGTATTTAAAAAACTTTAACTTTAAAATTTCATAAATCAAAATCCATGTCCTCCATAGTTGGGCTGATTTATTATTTGACACTCTCCATCCTGCACAAACACACTTTTGGAAGCCTTTCAGCAAAGAATGTGATGTTCTGGTTCCATGGTCACTAAGCTCCACACTGTGAGACCTCGACTGCAACTTGTTGAGAGACCTTTCCTTGGTGTTGAGAATGAAGGCGAAAAAGTGTCTGAAGGTGCAGGGTGTTTCACACACAAAAAAGCAGTATTATATATTATTATGACATCAATATTCTGTGAGAAGAGAAGATTGATCCCAGTGTCCTTTTCTTCATAAATGGAAACGTGGACCGATGTCAAATGGAGTATGGACAAATATAATTTGTTACGACATCAAATTATCATCAAAATTTTTAAGCGGCATCATTTCGCCTCTAGATCTAGATCTAGACTCTAGATTTAGACATCTAGATCTATATCTAGACTCTAGATCTATCTAGTCACTAGTCTAGCCTAACTCATGCAGAGAGTCATCACAACACTCAACACAGACCAAGTAAAAGGAAAGCATTTTAAAACAGCGCTTCTTTTACATTTTTTCAAGTCCTTGAGCAAATTGTGTTATTTCTTTCCCAATGTACTTGGCAAGTTCTTCCTTTGATGCTCTGGGGTGTTCCTTTACGTGTTTCGCAATGTTCATGATTGCTGCCGTTCTCAGGGCTTCGAGTTCCCTTTCCCCACTCAATTTCTGCCACACATCATTCAGTAAACGTATCGCTGCTATCCTCTCAGCCAGGTCGGTATTTCCAGAATGGGCCCACACTAATGTTGAGATTTGCTCTAGCATGTTTAGGTCAATTGACGCCAAATCCATGCTGACGGTAGTAGTAGAGTGAAGAGAAACAACCGGAGAAGAATAGCGGACGACGTACCGTTACAACACAACCTCCAAATTGCAATGTTTGTCAGTCGTCAGTGTTTACTTCCGTGATAGAGCGGAAATAAAATTCATTTATTTACATGGATATGCGCCTGCGTGAGCAATAGTATGGTACACCTATACTTTTCATCCCGAATCGACGTGCTGCTTTATGGAACATGAACTGGTGTTTTAATTATTGTAAAAATACGGGTATTATAAAAATGAACTGACTTTACTATTTGTATGTTAATCAGCTAGACGTAATTGTAAAAACGATGTATTTTTGTTAACCCTTTATTAACAAAACTGTACATTCCATACGTGGTAAAACGGTATTCCATACAGTATTTTCTCGATCCCCTTCCGGTTATCAGTGGGTCATTGTTATGTTTGGGAGGACTGCTTGGGCGACGTGCTAGTTTTGGTGACTGGTCTTTGTTGTCTACCATTCAAATTCAAGTTATCTGGAAACAAAGGGATTATGATACAGTAAGATTGTGTGTGTCCTGTCAGGTCTCATACTGTGTGATTCACCCAGGTTCTTGTAACTTGTCATCTGTTGTGGCAGGTAGATTCTATGTATGAAATCAATTTCTATTTTTTTCCCTTTGGTTTGTTTGATGAAGACTTTTTTTGTGGACTCACTTGGTCGTGGTTCCTATGGCCTATCATCAGAGACCATTGTCATCATCTTAAGGATGAGTAGATCTAGATATAGGTGTTTTTTAGTGTTGAGTCAGAATGACTGTATACCCTGTATTTATATAAGAGAAGTCTTTGAATCTCACCTGATCGAACCAAGAAAGCCCAGATGGATTGCCTTGCCTTTAGTAAAGCAGCATCGGATCGGCATCAGCCAAGCTTAGTTTGCCTGTAACCTCATCCTCACCAGGTCATCACCTTTTTTTCCTTCCTCACTGCACCCCC